TGCTATCTGTTACATAGAAGGAAAACCCGGTTGGATTGTCAGATTTCCAATATCCACTCCTACAAGACACTCACATTTATCAAATACAGAAACGCTTTGAGATTGCAGTGCCACAATCACACTGGCTTGACAATGAAGCTAGTAATATTTTTTCTCAAACAAACTGTCAATTCGATCCAGCCTCAGAAAGTGACATTGGTTTGTGTGAATGGACCAATTTTGACTTAACCTTAACCTGCACACATTGTATCTTGGGGTCAGGAAGATGAAAATGATCAGCACTCTCATTTTCACTTAAGTGCGGCTCTTCACAGAGAGGGATTACATTGAGGGAATTTAGAAAAAACATTGGGTCAAGCTATATAAAGAGTGCTTATTGTGTTAGGTTTCTATGTAACCTGTTATTATCTGGTGGTCGCATACGGTCTGTCGTTTACATTTTGAACTCCTCTTCGATAACAAAAGAGGATGTGCATGTTTTCTCTATGGATAAATCATATGCAGCCCTGTCAGTATAAGTGACGAATAGTGCTTGTTAATCTCATCCATCTGTTATGAGCACATACAGGACGTAGATGTCAGCTGGCTGGCTTGCAAAGTGGGATTTAGGAATTAGATTGTACACATCTCCCTATAAACTGTAGGGCTGTCAGGGTTGACACAGTAGTAATGCTATGGATAAACTGATTTCAGTTCAGAAGTATAATTATAATTACATATTTTGATGTACGCAAATCCATGATATTTGTTTCCTGTTTTTGTCATGTGTGTCCATTGTAAGAGATGCAACCATGCTTAATTTCTCTGATCTTGCATGTATGTATAAGTTCTGCAAAATGCATCTGGGAGCCTGCATAAATAGTTTATTTTAATCATAATATGTTTGTTGTCAGTATGTTTGAGAGGTGAGCCTGTTTGTAATCTAATAATGCATGGGGATACAAAAGAAATGCATCAGTTTAATCCTGACAAAACTGGACAGTGACACAACAGAATATTGTGTTTGTCAATCCACTGGACTATAGTAGCTCTGCAATAAAACACAAAGAGATTGGAAAAAATGGGATCAGTGCATATTGCCACTCCTCACTGTTAGCCTTACAGACAAGATGGCATTCGATCAGAAACCCACGATCTCAATAGAATCGGACTCTATTTATTTCTAACAGCTTCTTTTTCTTCAAATGCTCTTTTTTGGACCATTAGTCTGCACTTGTGATGGCCTTGGAATATCCATGTCAAAAAGAAAGAGCGTAGAATCCAGGGGGAAAAAAAATAATTCAAAACCAATAATTTGAAACTAAGGAATATACAGCATAAACACGCAATACAGCATAACTAAGACTAAACAGCTTTTAATATAGACCAAACAGCTAAAAAAACGACTAATAGTGGACCAGGAGCTGTCTGAAACTGAGGGCTTATAATATATTATAGCCTACACAGCTAAGAGACAGACCTAAACAGACTACTCAGATCAATCAGAAACCATGGTGACAAACAGGCAGGGAACAGAGGATGACACAACGAATAAACAAACCAGAAAGCAGACCCTGAAACACAGACATGAACAAAACAGAAAATACCTATATTTTTAGGGCTGGTTGTGGTTGGACATGAAGAGAAATCCTCTCTAATGACCAAAACCTTCAAAGTGAAAGAAATGGCACTCTCCATTCTGTTTGTTCACCATTTCACTGAAGCTTTCAAAATAGGCAAATTATAGTTCCATCAGCAGCCGGCTTGTTTCTTCTTTCTTGAGCTTACGAGAAAACTCAGAAAGAACATTGCCTACCTAATAAATTTTTGCTCTAAGGACAGGTAATCAAATCAAGGTGTCTGTTTTTGCCGAAAATGCTGCGCAGCAAACAGGTTTAGGTTCTCATGTGACCTAGAAGTAGACCTATGTGTATATGCTCATTGGAAAAACGTATGTGGCAACATTTTTGAACATAAATGTTCACACACGTTTATTACAGCCCATTCTCACCCCCAAGGCATCACCTAACGGACGCCTTGGGAAGCATTTGACCATGCTTCAATATCTGACGCTTTAGGCGCCCTTTAGCGTCAGTTAGATGATGCCCTAGGATTGCGTGTAACCCTACCTCCACCCCAGACCTAAATCTAACTGACGCTAAAGGAAAGCCGTAGGATCGCGTCATGTAACTGATGCTAAAGGGCGCCTAAAATGTCAAATATTGAAGCATGGTCAAAGGTGACGCCTTGGGGTGAGAATGCCTTGATTATTATTACAGGGGCAGATTATGGATTAATAAAGACTAGTTTTCACGTGGCACTTTGCACGATTATGTTATGACCTCAAAACACTTTTTACCATAGTGCATGATTTGTAAACTAATGGAGTTTGTGTAGCTCAGCTGGTAGCCAACTGTAGGCTACTCGACTGAAAAACAAGTCATGATAAAAGAGCTAAAATGCCATGGTTCCGATTGAGTTTTTATGTCAAACACAATCGGGTAGGTTTGGGGTTAGCTAGCTTACGCTATTTTAAAAAGTGATGGAGGAAACTTTTAGGGTGACTCACCGGACATTCCAATTCAGAACTGCAGTGATATGTACAAACATTTTATTACCAATAAAACATTGGAGTTTGTACGTATAATATAACTTGCGTTAATCTGTTCCGGAAAAAAAAAACTAAACACAGTTTTAGCGCCATGATAAACCCGGATAAATTGCAAAAAGAGTGTAATTTCTGGTATTTCGGCCATGGCCGATGGTGTTATGAGTGTAATAAAAATGTAATAAAAATTAATAAAATTTATGTTAAAATTTACTGTCTATATGACAACACTGTACCCGGCGTTTTTAAAAATCCTCACCCTGGCAGGGGTTTTCAAAAATGTTCGGTTTCAGTGTCCTGATACCGCGCTTCCGTGTGGACGAACAGCCGAACCGCGTAAAAAATTCACGGTTTTAAAAACATCCGTGTACGTGTGTACAAGGCCTTAAATTAATTAAAAATTAAGGATAATTTTTGGCTTCAATATCTCGTGGAAAAGAGGTTTTCCCCTTGCTTAAAGGGATAGTTCACCCAAAAAATAAAAAAAATTCTTTCAGTATTTACTCACCCTCAAGTTGTTCCAAACCTCTGTGTGTTTATTTGTTCTGCTGAACACAAAAGAAGATATTTGGAAGAATGTTTTAATCAAACAGATCTCGATCCCCATTGACTACCTATTTTTTCCTATGGAATAGATTATTGATTAAAACATTCTTCCAAATATCTTCCTTTGTGTTCAGCAGAACAAATAAACCAACGCATTCTCATCCTTTAGCGTCATATAGAACGCTATATGACAAAACGACGCTATTACGCACATGGCACCCGTTATTGTTATATAACATTATATATCGTTATATATCGTTATATAACACGCGCTGTGATGGTTAGGTTTAGGTGTGGGGTAGGGTAGGGTAGTCTGATATTATGCTAAAGGATTTATGACGCCTTGGGTTCGCTTGAATATTAACGATAAAGTGTACCATGTGCGTAGTATAGCGCCGTTTTGTCATATAGCGTTCTATGTGATGCTAAAGGATGAGAACGGGCTGAATAAACACATAGAGATTTGGAACAACTTGAGGGTGAGTAAATGATGAAAGAATTTTCATTTTTGGGAGAACTATCCCTTTAAGATATTACACAGGACGAGAGAACCTCTTCTAGAGAGAACCGAGGTTACGTTAGTAACTGAGTATGTTTTCTAATGAGCCTGGTTATACTGTATGTGAGGGTGTTCTGCCTACATGCACTCGGCAGAAAGGTTTTTCACTATTCACACATACTGTTCTGCACACAGGCTGAGATTCATGCCTGAATGATTTCATTTTAAGAAGTTAATGAAAAAAAGATCATATTTAAATGAGCAGTGAAGAAGACATCTATCAGTAAATACACTCTTAATGTTCCTGTCACTCAACATTCAATGTATCTTTTATGAGCAACGGCCCACCAAACCTCATTAAGAACTCATGGCAAATGTTGCTTTCAAATCGACAGGATACAGAATATAAACACGAGGAAGTCTGCTCCCTTATAGTCAATCAAAAAGTTAGATATAAAGTGGTTGAGGACGAATTCATTCAGACATCCTGAGCACCTTAAATGAAGAATTTTGAATACTTTTATCCATTAAAGTGAACTTTCCTGTACAAAAAATCCGATAACATTTTTGTAATGTCAATCAAATTCTTTCTACAATACAAATGCACATGATAGAGAACAGGGCAAAACTTTAAAATAATGGTACTCTGAACATGGTTATAAAATGTATCACTAGTAATTACTCCAATGCTACTCTTCAAAAAATATACTAGGTAACTGGTCCATTATTTTAAAGTGAAAAAAACAAAAAAACTTTCTTCATTTTAAAATGACTGCTCCAGATCACTAGTTTGAAGAGTGACTAGAGTAATTAGTGATACATTTTGCATTTTCAGGATAAAAAGACAATAGTTCATGTCTCAGTTAGTAGTAGCTGAAGTATTAATCAGCCCATTCTCACCCCCAAAATTATGTCATCATTTACTCACCCACAAGTCGTTCCAAACCTGTATGAATTTCTTTCTTCTGCTGAACACAAAAGAAGACATTTTGAAGAATGGGTAACCAGTCGATGGACCCCATTGACTTCAGGGGCAAAAAAAAAATGGATGTCATCAACTGTTTGGTTGCTGACATTCTTCAAAATATCTTTTGTGTTCAGCAGAAGAATGAAAATCATTCAGGGAATAACTTGAGGGCGCGTAAATGATGACCGATTTTTTTATTTTTTGGGTGAACTATACATTTAATGTATACTACTCACTTGTCCTGCATCACTTCCAGTATAGTTACCCTTTAATGATACATATTTATTCTAAAGTGTTACCGAGATAACAGATATTCGGCAGGAAATATATAAAAAAAACTTTTTTGTAACGCCAATCATATACTTTCAACAGTAAAAATAATACACACAATGCAAAAAGAACAGATTTTCAATGCATTTTATTGAACACTGAGGCCACACACAAAGGAGTATAAAACCCAGCAAAACTGAGAAATAGAAAAAATAAAAAAGACATTTCTTTATTAAATAAATGAAATAAGTGCTGTAACAAAACAAAATGAGGGAAAGGAAAGAGGGGAAGGAAGTTTAAGTAACATTTCATAAACGGTGTGCTTCGCCATTTGGGCGACATTCGCAACCTTCGTATAGTCAACTAACTATGAGAACGTTGTTTGAAAATATGTGTTTTTTATTAAGTGGATGATCAAGCATTGGGATGATGGGAAGAATTAACAGCCAGTACAAGCCGCAAAAGCACATATTTCACAGACATCCACAGGCACAGATGCTGAAACAGACAAAACAATAACCCAAGTTAGTCAATGTTATTTATTGACTGTGTATGTATTGTGCACCAATTAAAAAGTAAACCAAGACTCTTACCTAGCCTAGCAAAGGACATTGTTGCTCCTCTCTGCATGCACAGGGGCACAAACTCCTGTGGCAGGGTTGGATTGGAACATACAGAAAAGTAGCTCGTCTTGGCCAACCGGGGGTTTTGTGTTCGTGGTTGATCGGTCAACTGCTGGAGAACTTTCACCGAGTCCAATGAAAAGGAAAAATCGCCTTCCTGCATGATAGTCGAAAAACAACCGATGAGTGGCGTCAGCACTGACAGCTGGAGTTAAACTTAATGAAATTTGTATGAATGATTCTTTATTAATGGCTCAAATGACTCATATGGCACATAGGAGAATTCAATAAAGTCATATTAAACACAAGTTACAAAATGAGGTTAGGTGCAAACTGTCTATAAATCATATGGAAATAAGTATAGAGGATAATTGTGAGTAGTAAGTTTTTAATAATAGAGAAGCAGTAATGAATGATATTAAACCTTGAGCTTACCTGGACTTGTACAGCCTCACAGACCAGGCAAAGAGTCACGACGAAGAAAGCGACACACAGGGCGGTCTTCATGCTGGCGGGTTCTTTCAAGAGAATGATTTATTTTGGTATATGTTTTTCAGTTGTTGTCCCAGCAATCTCTGCCTTTCTCCTCCTCCTGTCTCCGCTTATAAAGGAAACTGTCCCGGACCAGTGACCTATCAGAACCTATCACTGTTTCTCTGCTGTTAATGAATAAAGAGGATACATTTTACAATGTCGTAAAACAGAATTCATAAATGCTACGTGACCTCATCTGTAGTTGTGACATGCACTTTTATGGATCTACAGTAGTTAGCTTTGCCTAGTGGCCTGTTCTTCATTCTCTAGTTAGGGTTAATTAATAACCACACAATATACCCACACAATAGTGTCTTTGTGTTATGAGCAAGTTAAATCCAATGAGAATACCAATGCACACTCATCTCAAAACAATAAAGCTACACCTTTCTTTTTGTTATTAGGCCATATTTCCTTGATACACTGAGTCTTTTTTGGAAATATTGCATTAATGATGATCTCACATTCATTGTGCAACCCATGCTTGTCTTCCTCTAAGGAAGTTTCAAAAATGAAAACAGACTTTCTCTGCATAGGCCCAAAGTGATTGATATCACATTGGTTTGAAGGGCACTGTTTCACAGTGGGTCATGATCAGTGGCGCAAAAAGTGGGTATGCGCTATATGCGGCGCATAGGGGCGCAGCACAATGGGGGGCGCCAAAGCGATGGTAAAAAAAAAAAAAAAAAATTATATATATGCTATATTGTATTTCTATATGTAGCTGCCGTTGTGCGTTTCTAAGTCATTTCTGCATTCCTTCAACGTTATATAAAATTTTAGAGGACTAACAGGCTAGAGTAGGCGCCCTCATGGAGAAGGGGGGCGGGTAATATCGCGAGCGGGCGGGGGCGCCGTGAGCGCTGAGCGAGCAGGTACGAGTAGTGAGTTCAGTTGTCGTCGAAAAAGATGGATAAAACAAAATGCTGTGGGGCTAAAAATAGAAAAAGAAAGAGAGAAAAGGAGATGGCATGTAAATTGAAATAACTGCATTGCTGAAAGCCAACAGGTAGGATTTAAAATGTAACATCCAGGCATGTAGGTCATCTATATCTCGGTGGCCATCGGGACTACCGGGAGATTCCCGCTGGGCCGACGTGCTTTTCAGCCAATACATTTCATCCTTTTTTAATTTATTTGTCTTAACGGCCCACAAAACTCATACATTTGTTTGTTGTTTGTTTTTGTTTTGTTTTTTGCTTAATTGGCGGCGCTGTGCTGGTGTAATGCATTGGTCAAAAAAAGTCAGCTTTATTTATTTTTTTCTGACACACTGGCCCATGAAATATGTCATTATGCGCAAGTATCTTTCAAGTATAGAAATTATAGTGCAAAACTAATTATGAAAGTTTCCTTTATTTTTCTGTGCATTTGTTTTACAATAGCCTTTATGGCTATTACTATCATGGGATTAATATTATAACTATTATTATGTAGTAGTGTAATGTAGACAGACACTAACTAAAAGAGGTTCAAATTTTTCTTTGTTTAATTTGCACCCTGAAAATGGGTTGGAGCTTTTAATTTTGAACTCTCAAAGTGCACCAGACTGCTGAATTTAACATTACAGAACACAAAATTTTCTTACGGGGGAGCATGCCCCCGAACCCCCCTAGAGAAACAGAGGTCCACCTACCACAGTTTTACCTAAAGTCCTGTGAGAAACGCTGGTATTGCTGTTCCAATGGAGCTTATAGTTTTCTTAGGGGGGATCATCAAGGTGGAGTAGCTATAGTTTAATTGTGTTAATAAGCGACAATTTTGCACTTATTTTTTTATGTTAGCTCTCATTTTTTCCTACTCACTTATTACTCAGCACACTTACATTACATTTATTTTTCCTTTATTTTTTTTTTTTGGGGGGGGGCGCTAAAATTGTTGCTGCATACCCCTCTGAAACTGGGTAGTTGCACCCCTGGTCATGATTTAAAAATGTTCTCAATGGGTATTGGAGAGCAAGAAAAAATATGTAACCATAAAGTCATCAATCCACTGTGTTTTGGTGCAAATTTATCTGTCAGTTATCACATGCCTAAGAAATAAAAGAAATATGTTTTTTTGGCCCAGTTTATGTAGGTGTCAGCCTGTTAAATTTTGTTTCTGTTGTTTGAGCATTTAAAATCATATATTTTTTAAAATGTTTTGATAATTTTATTCAGTAAAGCATTACATTTTTCCAAATTGACAGTAAATACTTTTATATTGCTACGGAAAAAAAATTCAAATAAATGCTGTGCTTTTGATCTTTGTCAAATAATCCTGAAAATATATCATGAATTTCACAATATATATATATAGGCCTATAACACTGGAAAAAATATTGTTGGGTTAACTTAAAAAAATAAGTAACTTGGTTGCCTTAAAATTTTAAGTTGATTGAACTGGAAAAAGTGAGTTAATACAATAAAGGAGATTGATTTAATCATCAGAAACTCAAAATAATAACTTATCTGAACTAAATAAATTATTTAAGTTGATTTGGCAAAAGAAAAAATGTTGTGATAACAAATCTTAAAAATATTTTTTTACCATATATATATATATATATATATATATATATATATATATATATATATATATATTAGCAGCAACTGTTTCAACATTGATAAGAAATGTATTTTAAGCACCAATCACCAAATCAGCATATTAGACTTTCCCATTACAGAAATAAATTACATTTTACCAACAAAAACATTTGTTAACGACTGGTACTTTACAACAAAGCAGATCTGTTTTTTTAACAAGCATATTCTTGCCGCATTTCCCTTGGATAATGTTTGAACTAAAAAGAGAACTAAAGATAATTTCATTGTAAAGTTATCACAAGTCATAATTATGTAATAAAAATCAATGCTCTCAGGGCAGGAGAGAGAAGACCAAAAAGTTAAACAACATATTAAACTTAACTCTTTCCACACCAGCATTTAACAAAAATGTTTTTTATTTATATTCTGTTGAATGTTTGGTGAACACACTAGCATATTGTACATGAGCTACTTCTTCATTAAGCAAATTTTCTTCTTCGCTTGTTTTTGGATCTGTAAATGCTGTTCTATATCAGAAGACCCGTAACTGTGAAAACTCATCAATGACGTGGAAGCATTGTGTCATAAATCCCGGAAAATGTTGTCAATGGTGGGGAAAGAGTTAGTAATCATCATAATTAAAATAGTAATTTTATGTAGATTTGTACAAGTATAAAGGTACTTTGTTCTGACACAATTGATGTCTGTCTAGTCTTGATAAACCCTTCAATCATTAATCAGAAAGTTTCATCTTCAAAGGTTTATTATGACAGCATGATGTCTGTTCAGACACCCTCTCCAATGACTCTCCAACATGTTTAGACAAATGTTGCACAATGTGTATTTTAAAATTGTGTTAAATGGTCGAAAGGCTTTAGTCTGAGACTGTGATGGTGCCCACACCTGATGATGCAATTTCATTTCACCATTGCAACTGCTTATCGACCAAGCCTCTTCCCTTGTCATTATATGTGATAATTGTCATTGAAGACATGTTCACATGTGAGAGCAGAAATGCTCCAACACTCTTCTATCACAACACACGTATCTCACGCCAATCTGGCACATTATGGACACATTGAATTCAAAGCTTGTGTTTGTACAGTACAGCGGAAGCTTCCCATGCTTCAATTTGCTATTTCTTATCAGAGCTCAGACATAATGATCATTATTTATTGTGTTTACTTAATATTGTGAATTTTCTCCTCCCTGTGAAGGTGCGTTCTGTTTTAAAACTGCTTTATGACTTAATGGCCCCGTAACTGCTTTGACCTTTGCATCCGAGAGCATCCGAGAGCAGCGAGTAAGAAATCAGAACAGTGGGAAAACATCAATGTGCCCTTTATATAAAGTCAATCCCAACATTTTTGATGTTCAATTTAAAATTATTTTAAATAATACAAATAAAATAAAATAAAAATCTCCATTATTAATTAATTGGCTGATTTTTAGCGATGTACCAATACTAAATTTCTCCACTGATACTGATAGCCGATTTTTCAGAATGACATATGCCGATACCAATGCCGACAGAACGATTTTCTTATGGAAAAAAAAAAAAAAACTCTCCCAAATAATGCTGTAATCTATACATGGAACCCTCCCATAATATTAGAGGTTAGAAATAACAAAAGAGCTATTATATTCAACTGCTATTTATTTTCAGATATAATAACTACTGTATACCCAAATTAATTGCACATAAGGTAGTTTTAATACACACTTGTCTACGTGGCAAATCTATTCAAACATACATGATTAATAGTAAATAAGCTTTTTTGCAACAATTGAACAATTGAAACATTGATAATTAATAATAATAATTAAATAATTATTTAATTTATTTAAATTATTTTATTTAAATAATTTAAATAAATAATTATTATTTAAATTATTTTATTTTAATAATTTATAATAATAATAATAATTATTATTAAATTGTTCACAAATTCTTTTATTGACGTCTTTCCGCAATTGAAACATTGATTACATGAGACATGGTAAATTTAGTTAAGTTGTACTGTATCTTTCAACATTTTGATGTTCATGCATGTTTTTTCATGCCATAACTTGAATTAAAGTGGAAAAAACACCGCTTGACCTGAATTGCTACAGCAATCTGTCTTGTCACATTTAAAAGTTTCAAGATGCCATGAATTGAAATGAATTGAATTTCGTGATAAAATGGACAGTATTTGAAAGCCTGAACCTGCATTATTGGTTTATGAAAGCTTACATACATGTTAGCACTGTCCTATTAGTGCTATTAGTACTATTGGTATCCCAATCAAATATAATAGACACAAAACTAGGTTTTACAAGACACAATATGAGAAGAACATTGTTCATTTTTGTGTTATTTCCTTCCCCATGCCCCTGCTGTCACAGGAGATGTAGCATATTGTGTGTTTCTCTTTTTTTATACATCATATATTGCAATTGTGAACATTTTAACACTGACTATTGTTAAACAAATTGCATATGGTCCATATAAAAGATGATACAGAGATGAAAGGGAAAGAGCATGAAAAGCAATCATTTTTCAGTGAAGTTCATTTCTAATCTCATTTTAATGATCAAATGAGATGCCCCTTGGAGAACAGAAGTCCAAAAAGGGCCAAAAATCTGTCCCTATAAATTTCTATGATTAAACCTGTCTCACAAGTCTTCATAATGCTTGACTTCAGGCCAGTTGTATGGAGCAGATCTTGTGCCAAATGTGCAAAATGGCCTCTAACTGGGGGAGGTAAACGACAGCTCACATGAACATCACAGACTGTAAATCAACAGCTTGGGAACAAATTCCACCTCTGAAAACAACACAAATAAAGTCACAATAGAACAGAATAGAGTATCTTCGTTGAGGTGCACAAAGAAATTACATTCAACTTGTAATATAATACAAATATGTAAACATTTATGTGAAATTAAATATAATACTAATATATGTAGACAAAGCAAAATATTTGACTGAATATTTAAATACAATAAAGTTAAGTTCAAATGAATTAGATCTATTCTAGAAAGGTTAGATTAATATTTGATTAAATATTCAATAAAATAATGAATAATGTGTACTTTGTCCTTTAGAGGTGTAAATTAAATTGTAAAGGCTACAAAGTATTTTTTTTTTACATTTCAATATTATATTTATTTATTTTCACAAGTACAAATTCCAAATAATTACATATTAAGTATAAATTAAGCACTGTAAAGAGGTACAATTAACCAAGAACTTTGCCCCTGAAATTTATTGTGACAATTATGGTTACAATAGATAATGGAGCCAATTGTATTTATTAGGCTAATCAAGACTGTGACAGACGGTGACATTCAGACTGCGCCTCAGATGTAGTCAACTCTATCTGGTGTGAGTCAAATGGCTCATATTTGGCGTATAGAAACTGATGGGTGTGAATGACAAAGAAACTGCATTGCTGTTTCAAGAGTAGATTGCAGTGTAGATCAATCTTCGGTGGAAGGTCCAAACAGTTTTCACGTATCTCCTTTGTCTTCATGTATAAAGTTCTGTCACACAGACAGAACTTTGGGTTAATATTCTAGTTTGAAGGCTGACACCCTAACATAGCTGCTGAAGAACAGTGCTACTCACCTTCAATAGATTCTTTTCTCCACAAGAATTCTGGTCAAGCTTACTTATTTTAGCAACACAACTTACACATTCAAGGTTCAGAACGGTATAGGAACTAACTTACATCATTAAAGTAATCAAATCCATGTGACTCTAGTGGTTTCTCTACTGTATGTGATCATAATCTGCTAGAGTCAAAAATAATCTCAGACTCAATTTTATGCAGACATTCCATTCCATTTTTATAACGTAAGGAGAACGTTCCGGTAACATTAAAGGGAAAGTTCTAGGAACGTTCTGGGAACCAAAAACTAACGTTCCCAGAACCTAAATTTGTTTGCTGGGAGGCTACTACCCAGCAAACACAGAACGTTCCCCTAACGTTCCCGTATGGTTCCCATTTGGTTATTTTTGTGTGAACCACACAAGAAAGTTCTCTTGTTTTTAGGTTTAATTTTATAACCTAAAGGGTACGTTCCCATAAAGTTTTTGGGAATGTTCTATTTACGTTAAGAAAACTTTTCTGGATCACCAATAGGGAACGTTCTTGGGAACCAAACACTAACGTTCCCAGAAGGTAAAATTGTTAGCTGGGTATTATGTGTCTACAACAAATGCGTACAAACATTATGGACCTGAATTTTCTATGTACTGATGTTGTAAATGTATTTTTCATATATTCTTTATGATGTTATTTTTCGATTTGATCAAGAACGTAAACCAATGCCAACACTTTTTGTGTATATAGCCAGTCAGTTTGATGCTATTGTGTAAAACAAACGTGTATTAAGTTAAAAAATATAGGCAAAAAAATTACCATTCAGAAACGTTTAGTAAGAGCTGTGTGTGGTGAGGTTCTGCTTGACTCTCTTCATCACTTCTTTCTGGGTCTGATTCTGCCTCAAACTGATACTGCAGTATCGATACCATTATGTACATTTGACAGGAACACATATGCAACTCTCGCCCGTAAAGGTAATGGGCGTGAATTCTCCGGACAACGTGCACTACAGTTTAGCCAATCACAACACACCGGCCCAAACTAACCAATCTGAGCCCACTGCCTGTTTCTGAGGGAGTGGTTTCATAGAATCCGGAAGTCAACCGGTCGTTCAAATAACAGAGGAGAAAGCGGCTTACAATAAAGGTGAAATTTATGAAAGATAAGACTTTAAAAAAAAGAAAAACTACGAATACATGTTATATTGCACCCCATAAACACAATCATGCAAAGAAAAAAAGCAGTAAACCACCCCTTTAAAGGAATCTTTAGTTGACCTAACAAGAATTGTTTTAACAAGATATTTCACATTTAGTGAATGATTAAATGCAATGGACTAAACTAGGTCATATTAATGAGACCAATTGTTTGTGAGAAGTCAAAAATTCAAATAGGCCATGTTTTCTTTTTACCTTTTGTAAAAAAAAAAAAAAAAACTAAACAAAAAAAATCAGACTACACTACACAGTGACAGAGCTTGTGAAATCTTTCACCCATTAGAATGACGTGAAGCGGTGACAACGTGCCCAGGATGGTGACTCACATCATGGACCATTAATTGAGCTCTTGTCCTCTTGATCTTTGCACCTGAAGAAGAAACATGAAATGTATTACCTTCACATCTATCCAATCATGTTCTATACTTGCTGTATAAAAGATCGGCACTTACACATGTTTGAGTTCGCAGATGCTGATGCAACAATTACCAACCCTCCCCACCACCACCAGGATGGTCCCGTCCATACCTCCCCGGGGGTCGGCTGCGCCTCTGCCTTCGTCTTCAGGCAGGAAATGCGATCTACCCTCGGATTATGCATGGACAGGTTCAACGCCAAAGAGCGTGCGTGGGCTGTCAATAAAATATATATTAGTTTACAGTTAGCATTTTACTTCAGCTCACTATTGGATACACAAAACTTGCAATGGGATTCATTTAACACAAAAAATAGAAACGTACAAGCCTTCATGCTAACACGCTAACATGCTAACATGCTAAAGTAATTTGAATGTAAGAGAAGATGTGGTTTATCATCACCCCCCTCCCCTTGTTCAAATAGCAGGTCTGCAATCAGCCATAAACAACATCTAACACTGAGCAACTCTGTATTACTTTATGACTGGGGTGGAAAAAGTATTAACATAGTAATTTGAAACGTGAGAGATAATATATCAGTCACATCAATGTCAGCGACTCTGTATATTGCATTGTTTTCTTTTAGCTCAAGAAGAAAACACCAATGAAATGTAAAGCTTTTTTCAAAATCAAGCTATAAACCGGCATGTTTTCATGATTAATATTACACCCACATCTCTGAAAAATGCAATGCTGGACAATGCCCATATGGACCATGATTGCAATGCTAATTAATTTTGTATAGAAAAGGTCTAAACTATCCAAAAGACGTGATATTGGTTTATCAGATAAACCACACATTTAAAAGTATTTGAAATGCATCTATAAAATACTTAAGGAAATTAACTACCCATATTTTAAGTCTTTAGCTGAACTATAAAAACTTTTCAAACACATCGGTGTGAAATGTTTTTCTCTCATGGCCCTTCTGTGGAAAAACACAATTTTACAAGCACAGATGCACGTCATGAGATCTAAATGATGTTAGACGCTAATATGTCACATCCTCTTTCTAGACTGTCTAGTTGATGAATTGCTGATTCTATGAATGTGGGAGATTTTGTTCTTATCTTTCATAATGTCCTCACTGTGTTGTCAAACTGAAGCCGTAAAAGAGACAATCACCTGTGAGTGGGGTTACAGTATCACACATTAAAGCTTGTGGTCACATACATATCCCAACAGCGGAAGCCCCAAAACAGATTTGTCCCTGTAAACTAAGTATCAGCAGTAGCCTATACGTCACATTTTTACTTTAGACTTATCCCCTCAATGTAAATGCCCGGAGCAGTGTAGGAACACTTTTTGATGAATATGCACTTTTATGGACTTCAAAACAGAAACGGCCATTAACTCTCATAACAAAGCTTTGAAGAACCAGAACATTTTTAATATAACTCAGTCTGATTTTATTTGTCTGAAAGAAGAATGTCATATACACCTACTTGAGGGAGAGTAGCCTAAATCTAACACAGCGTTTGAGTCCATTATTTAAAATGCTTTCATTTATATCATTATAAGTTTTCAGCATAATTTGAGTGAAAATTAGATGTTTTTTAGTACGTTGCCCGTTTGATGTGCAGTCAAGCAGTACCTGATGATCATGATGCTTAGATTTCGTTAGATTTCTAAGATTCCTCTTAAAGTCGGCATGGAATCAAATTTGACAAATCTTCGTTTTATATGTAATACTGTAGTGTTTATTATAAATGATTTATCGGTGCACTTCATTATTTTTCAAAAATTCATGTACCCTTATAATCTTTAATCAAAGACATTACCCTTCCCTCCCCCATCGAAACGACCTCTCTTCTTTCGGTCACGTAGAACGGCGATAGGGTGCGGCCAGATGCAATAAGGGTGCGGCTATCGGTACACCTCCTCTCAGAGAATCACATTCAAATCTGCCTCCATTTTGTATGCAACGCCCAACCTCCTACGATCCAATCAATTCCCGAAGGACGAAATCAAGCCCTGCCCTACATTTTTTTTCTCATTTCAGAAGCCGTTTCACTCGGATATACGTCACGATAAAGAAAAAAATGACGTTTCAGGCCGACTTTAAGCTTTCTTTCAATTTGATCGTTTAAACTCACTGTTCATTCCCAGCCTTAAACATTCAGATTTTCAGTGTGGTCTCAGCATTTGGATCCCTCCCTTGCACCATCATCAAATCCATCTCTAGCCCTGCTGATAGATTCATTAGAAACTTAATGAACAGGGGATTCATTGTGATTGCCTCATTGGACACCTTGTGCTAAACAGAAGGCCAGTCATGATATGCAAATAGGGTTAGTTAACTGAAGACTGACTCAAGGTTTTGGATTTGGGACTGATCTCTGCTGACAACAGTGCAAGAGTCGATGAACTGAGGAATTCCTTCCAATGACTGAAGCGTTTAACGGTATGCCATGGTAAAAATGCACTTTAAAAAGCCAAGTGTTACTACCTAGATATGAATAACAACAACACTGCAGTGTTACAGTTGGTTAGTTGCCAGGTCACGTACGTGCTGCAACTATGTCTAGGGGAATGAATGAAGAAACTTGTGTTGTGACTCATATGATCTTGTTTTGAGGGCTTCTCAAATCCAGTCCTATAGAGGGCCACTGTCCTGACCCTGATCAAACTCACCATCTGCAATTTTCTTGTAACTCTGACCTTGATTTGCTTTATTAAGGTGGGTTTGAGTAAAACTGGAAACTGTAAAACAGTGACCTTCTTGGACCGGTTTTGAGGAACCCTGATTTGGTAATATTTACTCTGAAAGCTTGTATGCAAAGCAGCAAGTAATTAGAGTATTTACATTACAATGAGTATACCAGGGCGAGGGGTATTGTTGTGCATGTAACATTTTAGCGATTAAAAAATAAAACTACATCTTAATAGAACACTGTTTTGTTTGCGTCAGCTCCACTCTTCTGCGTGGATGCACATGGTTTACGGCACTGATGTACTGTTGTTGTAACAGCATGTACTATGTGCTGTTGTTTTGACTTACTGGATGCATTTAAATAAATGACATAATGGTTTACATTACAAGTAGTTAACCTTAATAAATAAAAATATTAAAAATAAAATATTTTCAAGATTTGTTATCACAACATATTTTCTTTTGTCAAGTCAACTTTATAATAATTCATTTAGTTTAGATAACTTATTATTTTGAGTTTTTGATAATTAAATGAATCTCCTTCATTGTATTAACTCACTTTTTCCAGTTCAATCAACTTAAAATTTTAAGGCAACCCAGGTTATTTACTTTTTTCAGTTAAACCAACAATATTTTTTTACAGTGTAGACATAATGATTACTCTGATGAAGTCAAACATTATATAATCAGTGTTATGAAAAATTCCTGTTAAAATGAATGCATTACAATATTGTGTTACTCCCTAAAAAACGAATTGCTTTATTCAAGCCACGTTCCCAGCACAGGAACTTTCCCCACGCAGGGACTACTTTAGGGTGGTTATCGATGTGTTTCTACCGCAGCAACTTTACCCAGGAATTAGCTACATTAGGGTATAGCTACATTTTTTTTGTTTTTTTACAGCCAGTGATTTTTATCTCTTATGTTATCCTGAAGTATATATTTGCATCTATTTCTTGAATAAAGTAATAATAAAAATAATAATAATTATTCATTATTGGTTTATCATTCATAGGGGCTGTTTACACCTGGCCACTTCATGCATTTTCTGTGATCGTGAAAAGATCAGGTTGATTAGAAACGCATTGACGGATTTGAATCCGATCGCTCAGGAGGTGGTCTGAGCCACATACTAGACGAAACTGGACATGCGTAAGGTTGTTGAAACCACATATGTAATTTTGCTTAAAAAAAAAATAAAAAAAATAAACTTGTGAGAGCGTGTTATGTCATGTTATATGATGACGCTACTGCAACGCGCATTTTTTGTCTTAACGGAAGTTTTATAATATTACAAAGGTAAAATTATAATTGTAAACAGACATTAGTCCCTTTATTGACATTTTTCACTTTTTATAATAAAGCAATATGTATATATATCTTTATAAATCTTTATAACTATATATAATATCTTATAATATATATATCTTATAAATCTTTAAAGATGCCAGCAAATTTGACAAAAGAAATGACCTTATCCCAGCAATGTCAGACCACTTATCTGTGCAGTATAGATTCTGCTAAGCCTTCTGAATGGTTCTCATTTATGATTTTGTTGTGTATTGTGTGTTTCTTTGGTTGTCCTGGAAACGTTCACAATAGAGAATTGTGCCCCTCCAAAAGGTTATAAACAGGTTTTGCCCTTGTTTTCAATAACATTTCTGACAAGACTATCTGCTAAACAATAACTTTGTCTTAAGGATGCTGATCAAAGAAGATAGCATGTCATTTAAGTGTGTGTTATTAAATGTATCGGTGGGCACTGAAATGGTTGTAAATCTCTATCATTGCACCATGCTGTTCTTGGGTTCCCCAGGAATCAATAAAGTGCTATCTTATCTAATCTGATTTTATGTAACCTTATTTTCTGTAGGGTTAAATCCTGCTTTGAATAGGGGGAAAATATGACATATTTTCTGCATACTGGTATGCTATTTCCATTATAACATTTTAATGACGATACATTTAGAATTTAGTTGTGATGATCCAATATTGATGCTGAGATTGCTCCAGTTCATTTGGTGGATAAGTTAATCAATCACATAAATTTGACTTGACAGACATGTTAGGCCATGTGGCTTTCCATGCAAAGCAATGATAAACAAATGAACATCCATATGGAGATACAATTCAATCTCTTTTTATCAGTGCTCATTGCATTTCACTCTTTGCTTATACATACTCTGACTTCTTTTGGTAGATTCTAAATAATTGATCTTTGAATGATTGCATCTAAATGGCTTTCATCAAGCCCTCTGAATTTTAGTGTTGGTTTTGTTGCTGCAGTACTGTATATTAAAGTAATGAATATTACTTTTGTTACATGAACTACCAACCTTATAATAGCCCAAAGAACTCAACATCTAAACTGTGGGTTTTGAGCAGATCAACACAAGTGTGTGTCTAATGTTTTGCTATACATTGAATACAAAACAGTGTTGTTAACCAAATCTAGAGTAAACTATTCCCCCAGTTCAAAGAGATTTACATCGCAATATAGATATTTTCTACCGACTTCCTCATCATAAAGGGCCTTCTGATGAGATCCTTTAATCCTGTACACCTCTATTATATCTTTTATTGCAATTGAGCATGCACATTCTTACTGTCAAAGTATAGTCTAAACATATAGGCCTAATACATTTAAATACACTCACCCATAAACTACTCATTTTATTAAGTATAGCCTACTAAAGTAAATTTCAAGTATATTTTTAATTATACTTTATGTAAGTATACTAATTTCAATGTACTCTAAGTATACTTGAAAGTGTACTGTTTCAATACTATTCTGTACTAAATTGGCCCGCTTTTAGAGTAACAGCACTTTGAGTAACTAGTTTACACCAAAGTTTTTTGTTCGTAGACCTACTGCAACTATACTACAAGTGAATTTATTGGTATACTAATAGTTTACTGATCAAATACTAAAGCACATATTTTAGTTTATGAAAGTACACTTAAAAGTATAGGCTATACTCTATACTCTTATATTTTACTATTTATTTTTGCACTTTAAGTATCCTATGTTCCTATTTAGGTAGGCCTATTCATTTTGTATACTGAAAATATACCTTTAACTGCACTTTAACTCTTAAACATTTTTTTATTCTATCTTTATGCATCCTTTTTTATCAACACTTGAATGTTGGTAAAGTTAATTAAAAAGGCAACACTTTAAACAAAAAGCTGGGGAGATCGCATTTTTGTCATAGGCCTAGATATGGCTACGTCTGGATCGGATTTAGAACGATGATCAAAACACATAGAGTTCATCACCAACACCCCCAAAGATTCAGCCGTTAACCCAACATTTCTTTCAGCAACGTTCGGCAGTTTTGATTTAAATGCTGATTTAATGTTTGATGATTTGTTTAACATTTTTCTAAGCAGTCTTCTACCAGAGAATGTCTAATTGAAGAGAATTGGCACTGGCTGGTTACTTCCGGGTTCTGGACTGGCTGCAGTAACGCGTCTTTGTCCATGCGGGGGCGCTCGCGGTCGAGTGCAGAATGAATGGGAGTCAATGGGGTTTCACCCACAGATATCCACTTTTCTCAAGATGTAATTTTTTGTCAAGTAATTTGAAAGTTGCATTCAAAAGGGAGGGCTAAGAAAATACACTCAGCTGAAAATTGCATTTTTAAGTTCACTTATCTATTCTAAAAAATCCATTCAAAAATGTGATGACGTCACACAATAGCAGAATGCTAGCGTGTTCCGGCCAACAACAGCCTAACCTGTAAGAAATCAAAAGGACATACGTACTCGTTCATTCGACTTTTGTCCTATAATCTATATTAAACTTGCGGAATCAACAATAAAATATATTTTGATTTAACGACAAGCAGGTGAAAGAGACACATTTAGCCATTTAGCCCCATAGACTCCCATTCATTCTGCACTCGCCCGCGATCACCTCCAATGGAATTCTAATGGAACTGCAACCAAGATGATACACAACGGGGCTAATAGGAAGTGTCAAGACTTTCCTCCAGCGTGTGGTCTTCCCTTTCCATCCTTACCTAACTCATGAACAAAACCCCAAGATACTTAAACTCCTCAACTTGAGGCAGGAAATCTCCAACCTGAAGTCAACTCTAAACCTATGTGTATCAGCTATGATACACAATATGTATCTTTTCACCTTGATCTAATTTTAATGAAGGCTATGGCTACTTCTCAGAAATGTAGGCCCAGCCTTCATAAAAAGTGGAATGGAAGAATTTTTAGTTTAAAAGAAGTATAGACCTAATAGCACACTTGAATAAACATATTTTTCGTAAGGAGGCTGTAAAAATACAGAACTGTAATTTAAGAAGTCAAAAAGAGCATGTCTGCTTGAATGCTGCTGAAATGAATTCGAGCAAGGAAAGTTCTAAAGGTGTGAGTGAGTGAATACTGCATAGCCCATCCTGTTTGGAGCCCATCCATTTCGTATGATTTATAAACTGTTTTGCTTATGGGAAGAAAAGTTGTCTCCACAGGGTCAAGGATGTATTTGCCATGTTGTGGATAGACACACAC